AATGACGGAGCTACAACTTGGTGAGGGTGGGCACGTGTCTACTCTGAAATTCAAAATTTTTTCGATTAGTTGTTTTATTTTACTGATGGTATCTATCCTGAAATTTTATTTGTGTCCACCCAATTTTAAAAATTTATTTTTTTAATATGTGTGTCACACTAAAAATATTTCTAGATCTGCCTTTATATTAAACGTGACTAACTATTATGCAGTTAACCTCACCAGCCCTAACAACCTATACACGTCAGCCTCACATCTTAACCAACTTTCTTTACTCGCACTCTAACATTCTCCCCACTTATTTCCTCTTCGATCTTCATCAACTGATAGCTTTTTGTCAAAATGCAACAAGCAATGTCTTAACCAGTGGTTTTGTAAACCCATCGGCCGTTTGATGTTCAGCTGGAATGTAATTTACTTGCAACGTGTCATCGAATATCTTTTCACGAATAAAGTGCATGTCAAGCTCCATATGCTTGGAACGAGCATGGAAGACTGGATTAACACTTATGGTCACTGCACTCGTGTCATCACACCAAACAGCCGGAGTTGCAGCAGCTGAAACCCCCATGTCAGCAAGTAGAGACTTCAGCCAAATAACCTCGGAAGCCGCATCAGCTACATTGCGATATTCAGACTCTGTGGTTGATCCTGAAATCGGTTTCTGGCGTCTATGTCACCACGACACAAGATTATTGCCCAAAAATACACAATACCCAGTGAGCAATCATTGATCATCTATATTACTTGCCTAATCAGCATCGACGAACACCACAATTCTGGGTGCGTACTTGGATGCACATAAAACCAGTCCATAATTAATGGTGCCCTTCAAGTCTTAACCAACTTCCTTTACTCACACTCTAACATAGGATCAAGTCATCCTAGGCCCTATTGATACTTGGAGCTTCATCAATTGGTCAGTAGACTCAAAAAGGTTTTCATTTAGCTTCAAAGTCCTTTGAGAGGATTTCACAAAATTTCAATACATTTAGACTATAAATCTATTTCATGTTCAAATCCATAAAAATTAAGAGAACTCGTCAAGTGGCCTCAATAATAAAAACTGATTATTATTTCCCCTAACGATTTTAGGTTCGAGAACCTATGTCTGCAATGTGTGTATATGTTATCAATTTGTTAAGAAAATTATAAAAATATACTACTTTATAATAATTTTTTTTAAATATTCAGGGATCATATAATTATTCATACATAATAAATTATATTTGAATGTTAATAATATAATTTATACTATACATTTAATGCATGTGTTTAGTCGAATTTAATATTTTAATATATGACAAACTAATCAATTAGTCATTATTGATTCTATTTTTATTAAATAAAAATTATCATTTAGGTCATTAAAATTTTAATTTAATTTCAATCAAGTTATCATCATCAACCGTTAATAGAAATGGCCCATCTTATTTGATAAAAATTTATAAATAAAAAGAACTAAATGTGTTGCAATACATATTTATTTAATTATCACATCAATAACTCCATTAACAATTATAGTTATGACTTGATTGAAATTAAATTAAAAGTTTAATGATTTATTAATTTTTTTCAATGACTAAAATAAAAATTGATGATATATGGGGCAGCTTTTCAATCTTAACCCTATTGCTTCGTCATAGAGTTATCATCAAGATCAAGGTTACATCATGGACGAAAATAATGAAGTAATTCCCCACTTGCTCCAACTCTATCTATATAGGGTTAGGTTTGTGTGTGTGTGACATGATGTTGATATTATTGTTAGACAACATATGATGTTGGGTTGGGTTGGGTTGGATTTATGGTTAATACGATTGGATTCTAAAAGTATATTCTTTTTTTTAATTTAAAAGGTTTTTATATGATTTAAAATTTTATTTAAATTTTGAGATAAAAATTGTATCTGATTTAATCCGACATAAATATAAAAAAGTTATTTTTATTTGATAAAATAAAATTTTAATCGAAGAAAAAATTTAAAAAGATGAGCATTATAGCAATTATCATTAAATATATAAAAGAGAATCATACTATTATTTCGAGTTGGATAAAAAAATGTCTTACATATTAAACCCTTTATTTTTCATTGAAATATTCAACACATCTGTTATTGTTGCTGGAAAATTTTGGAAATTTATTAAGAAGGTAAGAGAAGCCATAACTCTCTTCAACATGGACTAAAAAGAGAAAAAATGGACCAATATATACTAAAATAAAGTTTAGAGATTAAATTAAAAAAATATCAAGTTTAGAGATTAAAATTTATTTTATCCCTATCAAATGATCCTTATAACCCGATTGAATTTCTCTTGTAGTGTTGTGAAAAAATTATTAGTTGAAATAGGGTCTCATCGAAATTATTTTTTGGTCTAATGTGGATGCTACAGTACCTGTCGAAAATCGTGATTCTGAAAAGTCACCCTAAAATCGCATTGCATTCAATGTGTCCCCCAATTTATTCAAAGTCTACATTTGCAATTTCAGTGTGTCCCCCCACCAAATTTATTCAAAGTCGCATGGTAGTGCTTGCGTCACATGTCAAAATCGTATTGTGTTCCCGACGACTTTTCAATTACTGTAACATTTACACTCTCTGAAAAATAATTTAGGCAATACCCTAATTCAACTAATAATTTTTTTTCCAAAACCTCACGGCAACAAATCATCCCTGTCCCAGCCCGGCTGAAAAGTAACTTTTATTACGTAATTGGTATTTTGCTCTGCCTCCATGGACTGGCCCAAAACACTCTCTTCCTTATGGCCCAAAAGTGACTGTTTTTAATATATAATAAAACTAATGATCCATCTAATTTATAATTTTATTATAAAATTATTAAACAGATCAAACAATTAATAAATTTTTAAATCTAAATATATTTTTTATATAAAAAAATTGTATAAACAAAATTTAAAATAATTTATATTCTAATAAATCATAATAATATAATTATGTTACAATCTTTTTATCTATGTGCATGAAGGTCTTCGAAGAACTCCGTTGTTAAGTCCCTTAAATAACATCTCTAAACATAGAGATATAGACATAGGTTTTTCGTAGTCTTTCACTTCTTTGGAAGCCGTGATCATTTGATATGATCTTTGGCAGACCCGTGTGATTTGTCAAAATCAAAATTAATTGTCAGTTAATCATATTAATCGGGTCTATTCATTCTACCACTTTATGGATCGTCACCCTGACTAGGGATGGCAAAAAAACTTGAACCCGACGGGAAAAATCGAAAACCGAATTTAACGGGTCGGGTTCGGGGATGATAAACGGGGACGGGGACGAGGAAAACCTGTTTATGTTAAACGGGGACGGGGACTAGGATGGATTTGGTAATACTCGCCCCGATTACCCGGCCCGATTACCCGGCCCTATACCCGACCCGATAAATATTAAAAATAATTATTTTTTATATATAATATTAATAACATATTTTAAATTAACCCTTAAATATTTTTTATTATTTTTTTCACCCCATACTGTCCCACTTTAAAACATCGTCCCCGCTTCAATTTTTAGAATTTACCTCAATTTTCGCTGTCTCATAATATTCTTTTTTTCTTTTAATAGTGAAAATAGTGCTTACGCTTCTTGTTTACGTGTGAACCTTTAATATCTTTTAATAGACAAACATTGTCTAGTTAAATGGGAAAAGTCTGGCTGGTTTGCTGGTATTGTGCCACTTCTAACAAACGTGTACTTGCTGCAGGGTCCTCGTCCAGTACACCATTACACACCTGAAGCCCACCACTAGCATTGGCAAGCTGGAAATTGTGTCTAGCATAATTTAAAATCAATGCAACTTGCATATTGTCTTCGTCTCTTCGACAACAACCCTAATTTTCACCTCGCATTCCAACAATCTCATACAAGCTGTCTCCATTACACAAGCTTTAACGTTCCTCTGACAAAGCGAAGCATGTGAATTAGCCATATTAAAATCAGCCTCGGGACCTATACCAACATCACGTTCTTCCCTAGCAAATGGAACATCATCTGCTCTCTAGTATTAAATTCAAAAATTCTAAAAAATTTCGGTTAATTCAAAAATTAACCGAATTAACTGAAATTTATTCGGTTCGGTTAATATTTTCGAAAAAAAATTTGGTTCGGTTAACGGTTAAAGAAAAAAAAATTCGGTTAATTCGGTTAATGGTAGTTCGGTCGGTTCGGCCACCGAGTTAACCGAATGAACAACCCTACCGATACCCGTTTAAATAAACGTTTATGCTAAACGGGGATACCCGTTTCCCCTCGGTTTTCCCCAATTACCCGATGGAGATCCCCGTTTAAATCCCCGCAGTTTTTAAACGGGGACTTGTACCGGTTTTTTAAACGGGACGGGGACGGGAGGACCAATACCCGGCCCGTTGCCATCCCTAACCCTGACCCTATATTCGACAGTAGCACTAAGTATCAGTATAAAATTTCTCGACCAAGACTGATAAAAATATGTCACTCGTCGTCTCTACTTCTTTCTCATTTTCCTCCTCATGAAAACAGAAGAGTTAGACATCGACCAATTGTCGATCGACCAACAACTATAATTCTCTACTTAAATCAGAATAATTGAACTACTTATAACTGTGGCGTATCATCAACAATATTAATATTTATAATAGATATATTGAATTATAGAGAACCTACTTCAAGAAGAATGTAGGATTTGGTTATCTAGGATTGTCTATTTTATTATTAAAATCTTTTGATTTACTTGTCATTAACCAATCAACCATATACTTAAAAATAAAATAAAGCACACAACAAAATTAAGAATATTAGTTGGAAAATTAGACAATTGCTTCATGATTTGATTAGGCTTCAAGTCAATCTAACTACGTACCTAAACCAATCTCCTTTGTTTTTATTCAATATTAGTTGAAGTAGTTGAGCTTCAAATCCACCTGTTTTCTTACCTAAACCCAATGTTCCTTGTATATAAATTCACCCTTCCTTTTGTCTTCTCAATCATCAAATTCCCCAACAACACTCACAAATCATATAGGTTTCTGTCTCTTTCATTACAACAATGGAGTTCTCCAACACATCTTCGGTTATGGTCTTGGCTTTGACAGCATCGATATTGTTGTTGTCGGTGGTGCCGGTTTATGGGCAGATCAACAACCAGTGTACTCCGACGATGCTTAGCACCTTCACGCCCTGCATGAATTTCCTTACGAATAGCTCAGCGAATGTGAGTTCGCCGAGTGCGGATTGCTGCAACTCTCTTAAAAACCTCACGAGTGGTGGCATGAACTGCGTGTGTTTAATCGTCACCGGAAGCGTTCCTTTCCGGATACCAATCAACCGTACCCTGGCGATGTCTCTTCCCCGTGCTTGTAACATGCCCAGTGTCCCTTTACAATGCAAAGGTACGTGAAATATTGTTATTATCTGTAGATTGATTGAGTATTGTTGATGTTCATTGGTCGCACAAAGTCCTGTCATCCGAATCATAGTTACAAAAATGTACTCCACCACCTTCGAATGACCAAAAGAGGAAACAATGCGTTACGAGAAAATAAGATTATCTCGATAGATCTGCAGGTGAGTTGTAATTAGAGAAGGACATTAGAGTGATGGGTTTCGACCTGCAGGTGAGTTGTAATTAGAGAAGGACATTAGAGTGATGGGTTTCGACCTAATCTTATATATAAGATTGATTTAGATTGGGTTTAGATTTAAGATAAAAAAACATTAGATCCGACTGAGAAAAATAATATAATTAATCTTTATATATTTAAGGATAATTAGTATAATATCCTTCTATTTATATATTTTTTCAATTAAGTCTATATTTTTTCAATTAAGTCTATTTTATCTAATATATATATATTCAGGTCGAGCGCATATTTTTACCCTAAAAATAATGTCGGATTTTAGGTCAGATAAAATTTTCTTAAACTCAGATCAAATGTCGGGTGAAAGAATGTTATACTTGAATCAAATTCGAGTGGACAAAAAACCGACGATGATCATCCTAGTTGTAATGAATATATTATTCAACATCAAATATTGCTGCTGTACATGTGCTTTTACATCCGTTCTAACAAAAATTTTCTTAATTTGTTGGCAGCGGCCGGTGGTGCGCCTATTCCTGCTCCAGGTCCAATCTCAATTCCACCCACGCTCTCTCCTGGAGTTTCACCATCTTTAAGCCCCACAGGTTCTGTCGTACCCGAACCGACACCGTCTGCTGAGGCACCCGATTCCGGCACTCCACCGTCGCTAACTCCACCGTCATCGACAGCCACTACAGGGAGCGGCGCTGATCTTACCCCATCAGCTGCCAACCCCTCGTATGGTTTCTCACCATTCCTTTTGGCGTTCACATTAGGGTTTATTGTAGTATTGAAGTACTACTAGGCTGCAAAGTCTCCAATTCTATGTATTTATTGATTGTTTGGTGAGTGTGTATTCTTTTAGTGGGTAATTTCCTTCCTTTTCTTTAAATGAAATTGATATTTTAGTTTGATTTTTATTTATTGAAAAATAAAATTTAAAATAATTCTAATTTGCATGAGTAAATTAATTTGTAATTTTTTTTATAAAATATTCATTACATTTATTATAATGTTATAATGAATAATTCTATAAAATTAATAATTATTTTATATCAATTTTAAAAAATTTAACGATTAAAAGAGTCATTTGTGCATAGTTTTGTGACCTATGATGTACTTTACCCATGTTTTTATTGGGCTCCACCTTAAGTAACGTCCATTCCCGCCACGTTCATTGCGCCAATTTACTTCAACACCCTCTCTGAACTCATTATTAGCAACCTTAACCAACCGTCTCTCTTTCTCTCATCGTCATGGCCACGAATATCTTCATATTGCTCCTCCACTTGCTCCTCCTTGGTGCGACGGCGCAGTTACTGCCACCAGCACCTCAGCAATCAGACTGCGTGGAGGATCTGGTGGCGTTCTCCCCCTGCCTGCCCTTCGTGTCTGACCCGCCAAACAACGCTACTGACTCCGTTGCTCCACAGTGCTGCGACGTCTTCGCTTCTGCTTTCGAATCCGGTGAGGGTTACTGTTTCTGTTACATCCTCCGGCAGCCGTTGATCTTTGGGTTCCCATTGAACAAAGAAAGGGTCGCTTCACTGTCTTCCTCTTGCGTGGCCAAGAACGGCGTCACTTCTCTGGACTCACTCTGCTCTTCAGGTTTTCATCTTCTTTTAACTCAATTGTTTAATTCCGTGATTTCTTGATTAAAAATTCAGCTGGTTCAAGGCCTTTAATCATTTGACTAGAAAAAAAATAGTTATTTTTAATGCCTTGATTAATGTAACTATGGAATTCTTAATTATGATTATGAATCAGTTGTACCATCGCTGCCGCCATTGCCAAGCACCACAGATTCAGAGATTTCAAAACCATCCAATTCTCGTAAGAAAAACCCAAATCTCCTTTCATTTTTCATATCTCCGTTCATTTTTCATATCTCCGTTCATTTTTCATGTCCGTGGCAATAGGCATCAATCTTTTCATTGGTGTAGTCTCCTTATGAAAACTATTCTACATGTTTAGATAATAGCCAATCGAATTCGACAAACTCTCCACTGGAACCTGCAGTCAGGTCGCCTACACCGCCAAGTTCCCCGGTAGAACAAACGGTGTTTTCTTCTGCGACAAATCAGATTTACAAGCACATCACTTGGTTCCTACTTGGAATGATTAGTTTTCTGCTTAAACCACAATCACTCTTAGTGTGACAGTAGCATAGATTTCCCTATTTCATTCAATATATACTATTGATGTGAATAAACAAATTGGAATTACAGTAAAAGGAGTGCACCCCAACAAAAATAGTAATTGAAATAGTTTTTTTTATCACAGTTTTCTCTGTTGCTCAGTCAAAGACAGACATTGGTTCCTATTGTTGCATGCAAATTGAACATCCGTAATGAAAGAACAAATTAAATTAAGGATGAAGTCTTTAAGCTGAAGGGGCTGCAACATCCTTCACAGATTCACGCCATGTGTACTCCCTCACGCCATCTTTGTCAACGATCTTGATAACAAAGTTCGGAGGTGCAACGACGAGTCGTGACCTTATCTCCATTATGCATTTATCAACTAAGTTGATGGCTTCCTCCACGGTCATGCCACTGTGGTAGTGCCTGTCCATCATTGAGAGAGAAAAATAGGATCCATACCCAAATGCTCCCTTATCAACTTTGTGAAGTGTGGCAATGTAATCGATGTAGTAAAGCCAGGGGCCCGTCTCTTTGTCGTAGCCCGCAAGAAGAATGTTCACGGAGTACGGATTCTGGAAAAGCCAAATTGCATTGTTAAAAATAATAGCAACAAGAACGTGCAGAGATCAAAATTCATCAACGCACACAGAACAAGATTCAAAAGTCTAAAAAACCAATAAGTGCATTGAACACCAGCCATGGCAGCTGCAAAGATAAAGTCACAGAGACCTGAAAAGAACTGCATATACCAAGACTCATTATTGGAACTCCAAAAGAAAACAAAATCTTGTAATCGTAAATTCGAAATTCCTTGGCCCGACCCAAACCTCAGCTTCCAATCCAAAACAACATCTAATCCATTGAAATGAGGCATCATATGGTCATAAGTTTAAGCCATAAAACCATTAACTCCACGAACCATATAACAAGCTTACATGGTATTATAACTTTCCCGCTCAAAGGATTTAGTTTAAGCAAAACACATGTGATTGCTGAAAAAGTATTTTTCTAGTAAATGCCCCAGATGCGAATGTTCTGATTCCAATACCAGTCTGACATATATAATGCCAGATGTGCTTTCCTTTTTTCCAGCTGAAAAGAATAGCCTTATGAGAATCTCATTCAAAAGAAATGGAATGGGAAACCAGCATGCTTCTAGTAAGTCGCACTCATCAGACACACAACTGTAAAGGTGCATACAGTATCGCCAAGGCATGCAACTAGGTGTTTTGCCTTCAGTGTCAGACAACAAAAGGACCTCAAACCCCTTCAGGCCAGGCACATTTCAGACACACGCCTTGTGTATCTACCTGCCTGCCTGGACACACTTTTGAAGTTCTATTCAACCTTTTTTTTTTTAAAAAACTCTTTTAATTAGAAATAACTACATTAGTCAAGAAGGGGATAATAGCAAATACTCTACTACTCAATATTTGAAATTACAAAACAGATATAGGACCATCAGGGAATCATGCATAATGGCCAACAAAATTAAAAATAAAATTTTGCAGGTTTCACAGATAAATTTAACCAATCTATATATAGACAGATACACACAGAAAAAAGGACATACAAAAAAAGACACAAATATATTGCACCTTACTAAAGCGATTGCTTTTTTTGTCTTGTGTACAATCTAAGGTTCTAGCACATAGAGTGCACCATGCGCTCTCGACAAAACTGGGTAAAGATAGAAGGCCATATAAAACCTGGGAGCTAAGATGAATAAGACAGTCTCTTAAGCAAGGTACCATTCAGCAACTTTAAGCATCATAAACAAATCCAGTGTAACTGTCTAACTAAGCGAAGAAAATGATAGCCCAGCAAGTCCGAACTTCCTGTGGTTTAGCTAAACACTGAATTTAACTCACCCGCACCTGGAAGTAGTTACCATCTCCCAGAAATCTCCTCAAAATGGATATATGACATACACAGTGTAGCATTCATTAATAATGTTAGATCTCTAGTCAATATGTTGTGCAGTAAAACGTGCAAAGAAGGGATTGCACCTGATTCTAGTCAAAAGCGAGAGTAAAACACAAAATAGGCTACAGCATCATAACACGATTCAGGGCATGGTAAAGCTATTTCATAATCACCGATTGCTGCCAATTCTAGACGCCTACAAGCTCCAAACTAAACCCTTCCAACATAGTTCTACAAAACAGTTTCCACACTTGAAGCTTCTTCAAATATGCTTATCACCATAATGAGAAATCAAGCGAAGTTAAACAGATTACAGCTAATATCGATTCAAATACACAATACTTGCTTATCCATTGCAAACCCTAACAAATCTTTTATTTCGCATAGATTAATTCATCTTTAACAGTAAAAAATTTCTACAAAGTTTCAACCTCAACAAATGTCAACAGAAATATAATATTAGGCACAACAACAAAACTATTAAACCGAAATTAAAGTCAAAAGCCTCAGTTGAAACACTAGAAAACGGGGATATTTATACCTTCCTTAATGCAGTGGAAAGCTCACCGCGAGTGAAATTGGCGGCGGCGGCAGTGGTCAAAGGAATACCGTTTCGAAACTGATACAAAGCCACGTTTTGAATTGCACTCTGCGGAAAAATAAAAAGGGTTACATAGGACGAATAGGGAACTCTATATACGTAGATTTAAACGGAGAAAATCAAGAAGGAAGGGAACCTGTGGCCGGATTCCCCGCTAGCGGCGACGAGTTTGTGAGAATCGAGGATCATGATCTTGTCTTCGTTGGATTTGTGGACGAGGATGCTGTGAACCGCCGATATGTCCGCCGCTAATAAGGCGAAGCCATTTCCTACTAAACCGAACACGCACTCCATTTCTACTTGGACCTCTGTGGGGTGGATTTTGATTTTCTTTTTTCATTTTAATTCAAATATATGATTTAGGAATTCTCTTGGTGAACGATTGGTTTGGTATAATGTTCCTAATGCCCCCAATCAAACCACTCTCCTATGCAAAATCCAGCAGCAGATGCAGAACCTCCGTTACCATAATAAACAAGAACGGCGATAGGGGATCCCCTTGCCTTAACCCCTTCTTCATTTGAAACTCTTCATATGGAGATCCATTAACAAGGACCGAAATGGGTAGTTTGAAGATTACAGGGACTGAATAAAGAAGAAGACCTTTTTTTCGTGTCGGATAATATTATCTGATACTGCTGCGGTTTTCATAAAAATCCAATGGAGAAGAAGATAAACATCGAGTTTTCGAAGAGTTCCACTAGGATAGATGGGTAGTGGGGCACGGAAGGATAGACATTGAAGACAAAGGCTCATCCAACAACAAAATTCCCATCAAGCATATGGCGGAAGTTATTCTTAGAATCTTAGGGTGGGAAACTGGGGAATTTTGGAAACGTTTGAGGGCTATTTGGTCATTACAAGTAACTTATATTAGCTACAGAAGGTTTAATATATCAAGGTTTTTGTATTATTTTTTTATCAAGTGATTTTAATAATTAAAAGTACAATTATCTATTATTTTTGTTAGAGATTATGAATTGTGGGTCACATCTATAGACACAATTAATGATTAAAAAAATTTAAATAAATATTATTTTATAATTATTTTAATCTAATAAAAAAATTAAAAATCAATTTAATTCAAAAATATAAATATAAAGTACTAAAAAAATTGTTTTTATTTTTTTTTACAATTATTAGATCAAATGATGAAATTATATTATAATTCTTTAAATTGTGATAATTATTTTAAATTATCCTTATATTTTCAAATATGTTAATTCCATCCTAAAATAATAACTGTTATCTTAAATTAATTCTTAATTTCTTTAATATTTTAAATTCATCTCTAAATTGCTATCTTTATTTTATATTAGTCCTCAAAATTGTAGATATTCTAATTTTATTTCTTGAATATTTTAAATTAATCTCTAAATTACTATCTTTATTTTATATTAGTCCTCAAAATTTTAGATATTCTGATTTTATCTCCAGTTTTTTGAATGATTTACGGAACGTTATTGAAAAATTCATATATTTAAGGATTAATTTAAAATAAAAATTTAAAATAAGAATTATATTTTTAAAATGATTTTAGAATGTTCAAAAGTTTAGGAATTGATATAAAATATAAGTTATAAGTTGAGAAACAAAACTTTAAAACTTTAAAAATAAATTTAAAATAAAAATTATAATTTAAAAATATGTGATAATTAATTCAATTTATAAATAAGAATAATATAAAGACTCGTAAAGTTAAATACTATAAAATTTATCCTCCAAAATAAGGAAAATATGATTTCCATTTTATTTTATTCATTAAAATAGGAAAGATACAAAGCACACTCTAAAGCTCATAGTAGCACACTACAAAATGAAGGCTCTCTTCTTTACACAATGGCTACCATATTTATTCCATTGCCTCTCTTGCTTAAACAAAACGACACGTTTAAGCTTAGAACAAGCGAGCAAAGTCCAGAATCGAGGCTACGGCATCCCCCCTACTCTCTTCGGATCCACGATGTTGCCTATGTCTCTGTTGAGACACAAAGTAAGACTCTTGTGGGTTGTTGAATACCTCATCGACCAATCTCGACGGCACCCCGAACACAATCTCCTTAACCGCACTGTCCATTTGTCTCACCATGTTGTCTTTGCCGGTGATGAAGATCCTCGAGTTGTTTTGGTGGTAGAGACCGAAAGCAAGAGCCCTCAGGTTCTGGTTTTGTGAAGAAACGTATGTAACTGGATGGCCTGCTGGGACTACGAACACGTCGCCGGGCGACAATAGTGAACTCACTTTCCTGTATTCTCCACTTCTCCTTTCCTCCTCGTCTTCTTCTTGTTCTTCTCCTCGGGAGCGGCAAACCATTTCGACGTATCCGTTTCCTTCGGTGATAAGGACCACGAATGTCGACTTTGAATTGTAGTGTGGCACAAAGATGGATCCATGTAAAAGAAAGGGTTTGGTTTTAATGTTCGCGACCATCTTTTAGTTGGGCCCGAAATTAGGCTTCGACTTGGATAAATGGCTTAGAGTCGCCACCGATCACTTTAAAAATATTTAGGTGGATCGGACACCATCTACCTGATTTACGTTTTATCAAAAATGTGTCGGGTTCGGGAGTCGGTTACAGTCAATGAAGGATTAACACTCTTGCACTGCCCTTTCGATACCAATTAATTTGTTGGTTGTCTTAATTGTGAAAATTAAAATTTAAAAACGTTTGATTCAAATTATTTACATTCGATTGGTTGAAAGAATCCATCAAAAATATTAGATTGTAAAAAAATATTAAATACATCAAATAAAAATCAAAAACCATACTATATTATTTAAAAAAACTCCAGGTAAATTTTATATTCAATCTTTTTATTTATGTATTATTTTAAAGAGTAAATAAAATAATTATTATAATATATTTATTATCTTTGTTACACGCTCTTAACTTTCAGGAACTAGAACTAGCATTATTATCTAATAGCAGCCAAGGCAAACAATAAACGATACTAGCTTTATATCCATTTTCCTGTGAAAACAAAATTGCAAGCAAGCAACTACTCTCTACAAATGGCAATGTCGAAGCAAATTATATGCAGAGACCAAGGAATGTAAGAATCGAAGTGAAGACAGCAAACGAATGATATATATGCAGTTATTAACATGAAAACTTAGCTATCGCTTCACTCCTTACCTTGACCTTCGGTGTCATCTGCATCATCCAGACCTCAACATCTGTTCAACATGAGCTTCAAGACGAGTGCATTTAAAGTTTCTTGTTCGTCTTCGCAAGTGTAAGGACGGTAAGTTGCTTTCACTTGAGGACTTGATCCGGAACCAGTTGAGGAAGTCTACCGTTATTCCTCTTGTAATCACTCCACGTGCCATGAGGAAACAATAGAAGCACCTCAAGGTGCATTGAGTTGTCAGTTCCTTCAAGCTCAGCGGCAGTGGGCACTGCAAGATTCTCAGAGAAGGTGAAGAGTGAAGGATGCGATGTCGCTTCATCGATTATAGGACCAAGAACTGAACCCTTCTGAGCGTATGCTTGCTTCACGAACTGATCAATTAACTTGCTTGATTTTCTCGATTTCCATCTTCATAAATAATCACAGGTCACAACCAGGAAAAGAGATGAATTAATTTTGAAGAATATTGTTGGAAATTAGTGTTTGGATTTGGCACCGAAGAAGGTGGATCAAGCGAAAGAAAAATCTAGATATTAAATAAATAAATAAAATGTTAGGGATTTCGTGCCATGACCGAGAGGCCATAACACCTCTCTCTCTCACACTTCCCTTCAATTCCTTTTCTTCCTTCCCTCTTCCCCCCGTTCAATATGCAAGTGTGGATTATATAGATATGATTGATGAAGAGGTGATAACTTTTGTGAAGCACTCAACCCACAACAGAATGGTCAAGGTAGGTATGGGAGAGGCCGAGAATTGTGGAAGATGGGTGGTGAACGTGAGAGAAAAGGGGTAGTGGTTGTTGTTTTTCAACTAAGTGGGTACAAAAAATATTTAAAAAATATATATGTTTGTATGGTTAAAAAAAGTGTGTCTACAGCTGCCCCTCTTTGCCTATAGTTGTATAACGGGGATAGGGCAAAGATTAAAAGACACACTTTTCGTTTAACATGAATGTATCTAAATTTAAAACCATCCATACAGGGTAATTCCCATCTTTATTGAATATCTCTGTTGTAATTCGATGTCAATACTGGTTTGTCAATATGAAATAACTCCCTCGCCGTGAGGTTGAGTTGAACTGAAAACTTATGAGCACAAATTCTTCGTCGTGAAGTTGAAATCAAACTCAAAGTATTAGAAAGTAGCTCATGGATCGTCTTCTGGCCCAAGATACTTCGTCGTGAAGGTGAAACTTGAACTGAAGACTTTGGTGTTGATGTGTTACAGATGACTCATTCGTCGTGAAGTTGTGTCAATCTGTTTTGTGAAGTTGAGCTTTAGAATTGGATATCCTTCGTCATGAAGTTGAAATCCAATGTAAGTTGTGTTTTTTCGATGCCAATATCCTTCGCCGTGAATTGAAATTGACTCTGAAACTGGAAAGTTTATTGACTACTCATTCTTTAAGTTGAATATCCTTCGTCGTGAAGTTGAAATCCAATCTAGAGATGGGTGCTGTTGTGTGCACGATTCCCTTCGTCGTGAAGTTGAAACCGCGGGTGGCCCCTAATTCGTGAAGTTGAGCCTTGACTTGAATATCATTCGTTGTGAAGTTGAAATCCAATCTTGTATTGTTTGAGGCCAATATCCTTCGATGTGAAGTTGAAGTTGACTTTGAAACTGGATAGTTTGTTGAAAGACTCTCCTTCTCTGAGTTGGATATCCTCTGCCGTGAAGTTAAATCCAATATGGAGATGGATGCTGCTTGTGCATGATTCCCTTCATCGTGAAGTTGAAACCGTGGATGGCCCCTCCGTCGTGAAGTTGAGCCTTGAATTGGATATCATTCATCACGAAGTTAAAATCCAAGTAAGTTGTATTGTTTCGAGTCCAATATCCTCCGCCGTGAAGTTGAAATTGGCTCTTAAACTGGGAAACCCCTTCGTCGTGAAGTTGAGCCTCAAATGGCACGATATCCTTCGTCGTGGAGTTAAAATCGTGGATGTGTAGGTAAGATATCCTCCATCGTGGAGTTAAAATCGTGGATGACCCATTCGTCGTGAAGTTGAGCCATGACTTGAATATCCTTCGTCGTGAAGTTGAAATCCAAGTATGTATTGTTTCAAGTCCAATATCCTTCGCTGTGAAGTTGAAATTGACTCTAAATGAAACTGAAAAGTTTTTTGTTGACATACAGTCGCCCCTTCGGTGAAGTTGAGCTTGTGTTGTCTTGAGTCTAATATCCTTCGCCGTGAAGTTGAAATTGACTCTGAACGAAACTGAAAAGTTGTTTGTTGACAGTCAGTCGCCCTTCGCTGTGAGTTACTTGTGTTGTCTCGAGTCCATTATCCTTCGATGAAGTTGAAATTGACTCTGAATGAAACTAAAAATTGTTTTTGACAGTCGCCCCTTCGTTGTGAAGTTGAGCAACCACCATCAATTTTCTGAATGCGCTTTTGAATCGAGTATCTTTCATCTTGAAGTTGAAATTTGACTTAAAAGCTGTAAAAAAATTATGTGTGCTAAAAATGATAAATATGATGCTCTTAAGTATGTCTAAGATGTATGCAACATGAATGAGTTATGTTTTAGCTCTTGGATTGGAGTCTCGTGCTTTGTCTGTCAACTGGTCCTTGGAATCGAGTTTTGGCTTTACAGACCTTTCATGTC